CAAGGATATGGCACAGCAAGGATATGGCACAGCAAGGATATGGCACAGCAAGGATATGGCACAGCAAGGATATGGCACAGCAAGGATATGGCACAGCAAGGATATGGCACAGCAAGGATATGGCACAGCAAGGATATGGCACAGCAAGGATATGGCACAGCAAGGATATGGCACAGCAAGGATATGGCACAGCAAGGATATGGCACAGCAAGGATATGGCACAGCAAGGATATGGCACAGCAAGGATATGGCACAGCAAGGATATGGCACAGCAAGGATATGGCACAGCAAGGATATGGCACAGCAAGGATATGGCACAGCAAGGATATGGCACAGCAAGGATATGGCACAGCAAGGATATGGCACAGCAAGGATATGGCACAGCAAGGATATGGCACAGCAAGGATATGGCACAGCAAGGATATGGCACAGCAAGGATATGGCACAGCAAGGATATGGCACAGCAAGGATATGGCACAGCAAGGATATGGCACAGCAAGGATATGGCACAGCAAGGATATGGCACAGCAAGGATATGGCACAGCAAGGATATGGCACAGCAAGGATATGGCACAGCAAGGATATGGCACAGCAAGGATATGGCACAGCAAGGATATGGCACAGCAAGGATATGGCACAGCAAGGATATGGCACAGCAAGGATATGGCACAGCAAGGATATGGCACAGCAAGGATATGGCACAGCAAGGATATGGCACAGCAAGGATATGGCACAGCAAGGATATGGCACAGCAAGGATATGGCACAGCAAGGATATGGCACAGCAAGGATATGGCACAGCAAGGATATGGCACAGCAAGGATATGGCACAGCAAGGATATGGCACAGCAAGGATATGGCACAGCAAGGATATGGCACAGCAAGGATATGGCACAGCAAGGATATGGCACAGCAAGGATATGGCACAGCAAGGATATGGCACAGCAAGGATATGGCACAGCAAGGATATGGCACAGCAAGGATATGGCACAGCAAGGATATGGCACAGCAAGGATATGGCACAGCAAGGATATGGCACAGCAAGGATATGGCACAGCAAGGATAGGGCACAGCAAGGATATGGCACAGCAAGGATATGGCACAGCAAGGATATGGCACAGCAAGGATATGGCACAGCAAGGATATGGCACAGCAAGGATATGGCACAGCAAGGATATGGCACAGCAAGGATATGGCACAGCAAGGATATGGCACAGCAAGGATATGGCACAGCAAGGATATGGCACAGCAAGGATATGGCACAGCAAGGATATGGCACAGCAAGGATATGGCACAGCAAGGATATGGCACAGCAAGGATATGGCACAGCAAGGATATGGCACAGCAAGGATATGGCACAGCAAGGATATGGCACAGCAAGGATATGGCACAGCAAGGATATGGCACAGCAAGGATATGGCACAGCAAGGATATGGCACAGCAAGGATATGGCACAGCAAGGATATGGCACAGCAAGGATATGGCACAGCAAGGATATGGCACAGCAAGGATATGGCGCAGCAAGGATATGGCGCAGCAAGGATATGGCGCAGCAAGGATATGGCACAGCAAGGATATGGCACAGCAAGGATATGGCACAGCAAGGATATGGCACAGCAAGGATATGGCACAGCAAGGATATGGCACAGCAAGGATATGGCACAGCAAGGATATGGCACAGCAAGGATATGGCGCAGCAAGGATATGGCGCAGCAAGGGAGAGCGACGAATTGCATGTGATGTGACATGCGTGACGCACATGCTCCATCTCTGCTGAAAACACCTGAAGATCCACCTGAAGCTGCCAACTGATAGGGCTGCAGCGATCACACGAGAGAGTTATGCTGCAATGCAAGGCACAGAGCATGAGGCATGCATAATATGACGGATGAATGCATGGCATGGGTCGCCTTTGGAGTGCGAGTGCCATGCCATTCCTGTGAGTGCGTGTACATGCACATGCATGTGTGAAGTGCACCGCATGGGTGGGCGGCTTGGAGTGCCAGTGGAACTCCTGTTTGTACCTGTGCCTTGGCAGATGCATGTGTGGGTTGCACCGCATGCATCACAGAGGGAGCACGCACAAGTGAGAAGAACGTGAAATATAAGTTCGTGATGTGGGTTCCACTCCACTTACATCCGCCTACTTTTTGCTTAAATACAACACCGAGTGCAACGTACGGTTTGGAACATGAAACTGTCCAGCTCGTCCGTTTCATCATCTGATGGCAGCAGATTCGCCAATGCCACCACCTGTTGCCATGCCATGTCATCGCATGTCATGCCATCCCAACCCATGCCATCACATCCGATGCAAACCACGCCAGACCAGACCATCCGCCATCCCCTCCCATGCCATGCCATGCAACAAAATCGAGCATCATGTGGAATGAGTCTCGGGATTAGAGTCAGAAGCCCAAGGAAAAGTTGGGGGTTCAAGGTTGAGGGTTTGAGATTTGAAGGTTCAGAGGAACAACTTGAAGGGTTCGGGTTGTAAGTCTAGCTTCGCATGTCCCTGCCCCCGATCGCGCTTGTGGGGGTTTAATATCGGAATGTGGGGTACGGAGGGGCAAGCCATGCTCCGACACGCCTCTTGAAGAGGAATTTGAACCGAAGTTACGTTGGGTTTGTGCACCCCGATAGTGTTGATAAGGTTACAGCGATCATGGCGAGGCGCGGCATTATGGTGGGATGGGGATGGCATGCTAATGCATCGTCCTTTCGACGTCGCTCCGTTATCCCGTGTCTATATCGCGTACGCCACGCACCTCATGTCCATACCGCGTACACTCCATCATGTTGAAACAGCTGTCCTTTCCCCCGCTCACTAACGCCACCACCTTCATCGCGCCAAGCCAATAACGGGGATGAAAACGACGAAGAGGCTAGAGAAAACTTCAACCAACTGTCGACTCTCTATGAAGCGAGCTTTGTCTCGACTCTCGACTCGGATCTCACGAAGCCCTGATTCTAGGCTCCGGCTAAAATGACGGAATAGAGTTCGCGCGTATTTGCGTCTTAACGGCCAGGAGCTGGCGGCTTGGGCGCGCCACGCGTGCAAAACAAGCTGCAGATCAGATCCGGTAACATGTCAGTTACATGTCAGTAACCTCTCGCTCCCGCAGGTGGAGTTGGATACGCGATGGAGGGAAAAATGAGCCATACTTGTAAAATGGGTCAGGCTGATACAATAGATGTGACGGTGTATCACCTACGACAGGCAGAGTGGTCGACTCGTCGAGTGAAACTTTTTCTGACACGACTGGGGACAATACTGCCAAACCTGCTGACACGCCCGCTGAGTTTGTGTCGGAACCGCCTTTAAAGAGATTCAGAGATTTCGAATTGTTTTGCCGCAATTCGTCACTGTTACGCTCTGATTACGAGACTACCGCAAGTTCAGTTCGAGGACCAATTCCAGCTTCAATCTCAGATTAGAAAGCAGCTTCAGAATGAAACGAGGTTGCCAGATACTGTTTGCTGCAGATGAAGATTGCCCTGCTCGAATTTGGTTGTTCCGCAAACTTTGAAGTTGGTGTGTGAAACTTAAAACCGGAGGTCCAAGAGTTTCTAAGTTAGGAAGGTTGCAAGGGGAGAGAAAGGTGACTGGCTCGCGAGCCAGGGTGGTGTCGACATCGGTGGTAGCGGGTCGCTAAGTATGAAAAAGTCGCGAGTGTAACCAGATCTGGAATGCTACGTCAGAACTCGTTCGCTGACTGTTTCGGACGGGCTGCAAATTTGTTTGCGAAGTTGTCACCGCTATCGTCCTCGCCTGAACAGTAATTTTGCTTGGGGAAAATCGTCCCAACAATTTGCGAGGAGAGCTCGGTATCAACTGGGTCACACCCAACCAAAGTTAGGAAGGTTGAGGCAGTTTCGGGCTGTTTGGGACTCCGGTTTTAAGTGTCGTAAATCCCTGTGTCGCAAATCCATATGCGATGCGATCTCATCGACCTATCTAGGCTCTAGCTGTTTGGCAGTTACGTCTCATTGTCGCCGTCAATCTCTGTCATCGTCCGACTCTCCTTCTCCGTCGCTGATCATCGCACGACCTTCTGTGATCATATCTTAGTCCAGCGGGGTGAAATTCGATTCTCCTTGCTCGCAGTTCACGCTGCCTGCCACTCCCTACGCGCTGCGCCCTGCTTCCCGCGCCTTGCGCGCTCCGACCGTCACCGTGCGCCATGAGCGTTCCGCCGATGAGTGCCGCGGCGGTGGCGGCGTTTGGCGGAAAGCTGCTGGAGGAGCCGCGGCGGCGCGGAATCGAGATCGGCGGGTGGCGCATCGAGTGCCGCCACGAACCGATTCTCACCGCTGAAGAGACGGAAGCGTGAGTCGCGGGAGTATATAATTCTCCTTACACACGTAGGCCCAAGATCCGCGGGCAACGCATCAAATCCCAACGCCCATACACCCCCTGGACGAAACCTGTAGCCCATTTCAGGGGAAAGACCCCTTGGGCCCATTTCAGTGTCCGCTCCCAACACCTTTCGATGCGAACATACAATGCCGCGGATACGCGGATTCGCAATCACCGCATACAGGGCCCACACCAGCCAATTCCGATTTCAGAAAAAAAAAACAGAATCCGAATAGTTGCTGGGTTTTACCCCTCTTCGCCTCCCCCCTCCCAAGCTCCCACCTCCCCACTCCCCTTCCTCCACTGCCTCCCCACCCAACCCTCCCATCTCCCCGTCTCCCCCAGGTGTCAGGCGGCTCTCTTCTCGCAGTGGCTCCCCGAGATGGTCTTTGGTCGCAGCTGCCTGCGCGCGGAGCACCTGGGCACGGGCGTGGGCGTGCATTTTGGGGCACTAGAGGTGCTTTTGCCTCACTCTCACTCACACGCCTTTTCCCCCACACGTCTCGCCAATTCCTCTCCTCTCCCCCAGGTGGCAAAAGACCCTCTCCTCGCAGTGCCTTCCCGAGATGGTCTTTGGGCGGAGCTGCCTGCGCGCGGAGCACGAGAGCACACACGCGGGTGTGCGGTTGGGAGGTCACCCATACGTCCACCACATTGACCCTACCAAACACCCTCAAACCCCTCCCTCCGACACCCCTAACTACCCCAGGTGGCAGGCGGCTCTCTCCTCGCAGTGGCTTCCGGAGATGGTGTTTGGGAAGAGCTGTCTGCGCGCGGAGCACCTAGGCACGGGCGTGGGCGTGCAGCTGGGGGCGCTAGAGGCGCTGAGAGGGTGGAAGGAGGCGCGGCTGCCCCCTGTCAAGGTGCCTGCTGCTGCCGCGTGGGGGAAGAGAAGGTGAGGAGACTTATGGGGTTAATTTGAGCTGCCTGCGCGCGCAGCACCTGGGAACGGGCGTGGGCGTGCAATTGGGGGCGTTTGAGGCGCTGAGAGGGTGGAAGGAGGCGAAGCTTCCGCCTGTCAAAGGGCCTGCTGCTGCTGCTGCATGGGGGAAAAGAAGGTGAGTGGGCCTATGGGGTTTACTGGGTGCCTGCGCGCAGACCACTTAGGCACGGGCGTGGGCGTGCAGCTGGGGGCGCTGGAGGGGTGGAAGGAGGCAAAGCTTCCGCCTGTCAAATTGCCTGCTGCTGCTGCATGGGGGAAAAGAAGGTGAGTGGGTCTATTATGGGGTTTACTGGGTGCCTGCGCGAAGAGCACTTAGGCACGGGCGTGGGCGTGCAGCTGGGGGCGCTGGAGGGGTGGAAGGAGGCAAACTTTCCGCCTGTCAAATTGCCTGCTGCTGCTGCTGCGTGGGGAAAGCGAAGATGAGGAGGCTTTTGGGGTAGATTGGAGCTGCCTGCCCGCGGAGCACCTGGGCACGGGCGTGTGGGGTGCAGATTGGAGAGGGGAGGCGCTGAGGGAGTGGAAGGAGGGCAAGATTCCACTAGTGAAAGTGCCTGCTGTTGCCGCATGGGAAAGAGAAGGTGGGGGGGGGGGGGGGGGGGGGGAGGAGGAGGGGTAAGAGAGGCCAGAATTTAAGCAAGTATGGAGGGGTATGGAGAGGTGGGAGCATTAGAGGTGCTGAGGGGATGGAGGGGCGGCTCCCGCCTGTGAAGGTGCCTGCTGCTGCTGCATGGGGGAATAGAAAGTGAGGGGGGAAGGGGGTGTGTTGGGGGGTTTTGGGGGAGAGGGGCCAGGGTTTAAGCATACGTAAGTGGGGTTATGGAAAGATGCAAGGGTGGGGGGCGCTGAAGGTGTGGAGGAGGGGTGGCTTGCGTTGGTGAATGTGCCTGCTGCTGCTGCATGGGGTAAGAGAAGATGAGGGGGGGGGTATGGGAAGGGGAGAAGGGAAGTGAGGTTTGTTCTTTCTTCTTCGTGTTTTCAGCTCTTTGATTCTTTTGATGCGCTGCCCTGCCACCCCACCCCACCCCATCCCACCCCACCCTACCTCTCTCCCCATTCCACCCTCAAGCTTCCATCCACAGATATGATTTTGGATTATGACTGCACCTTCACCACCCCCTACTGCAGCTCATGTGCTTTCCTTGTCCCATGTCTCGCCCCACCCCACTCCATCCCATCCCATCCCATCCCATCCCATCCCATCCCATCCCATCCCATCCCACCCCATCCCACCCCATCCCACCCTCCAGCTGCCCATCCACGGATATCATACTTGACTATGACTACACCTTCACCACGCCCTACTGCTCCTTACGCCCCTTGCTTTGTGGCTTTGTCTTCTCTCCCACTTTATCCCACCCCATCCCATCCCATCCCACCCTCCAGCTGCCCATCCACGGATATCATTCTCGATTATGACTACACCTTCACCACCCCCTACCGCGGCTCCATTATTACCAGTAGCAGTGCTTCCCTTTCACCTGAGAGCAGCATGGCCGGCAGCAGCAACAGCAACAGCAGCAGCAGCAGCAGCAGCAGCAGCAGCAGCACCACCACCACCACCACCAGCACCCACGCACCTGATGATGTCAGCGCACCCCTCGCATCATGTGTTGCTGACATCAGCATCAGCAACGCCGACAGAGGTCTAGCTGTTGGAGCAGGAGGAGAGGGGGAAGAAGGGAGAGGGGCGAGAGTGAGAGCAGAGGGCATGAGGGAGGGAGAGGTGGAGGGAGCAGGGGAGACAGCACAGGTGGTGAGGGAAGTGCAAGCCGTTTGGCCTCAATCTGATGCTTTTGGTGCTGGTGGTGTTGGGGTTGGAGGGGAAGGGGGTGGGGGAGAAGGAGGGAGTGTGGAGAAACGGAGTCTAAGAGGGGCGGAGGGGGAAGAGAACAAGGGGAGTGGGGGAGAAAAGGAAGGGAGGGGAGCAGGGGGAGGAGGAGAGTGGGAGGCGGAGTGGGTGGCGTGTGGGGAGGGCGAGGGCATTGACTGGGCCTTGCTGCAACGCCGCGACCCCATCCTCTTCTCTGATGAGGTACTGATGGTTGGGATGTGGTGATGATGGTTGGGATATGGTGGAAAAATTGGGTGGAGCGAGGACATGTTTTGGGCCATGCTGCAGTGCTGCTGGGACCCCATCCTCTTCTCCAATGTCGTGGTTATTGCTGCAATGGGGTAGTAATGGCTGGGATGCGGTGGTGATGGTTGGGATGAGGTACGGATGGTTGGGCCATGCTGCTGCGCCGCGACCCGATCTTCTTCTCCAATGAGGTACTTATGGATGGGATGCGGTGATAAAGTTTGGGATGCGGTGATAAAGTTTGGGATGCAGTGATAAAGTTTGAAATGCGGTGATAAAGTTTGGGATGCGGTGATAAAGTTTGGGATGCAGTGATAAAGTTTGGGATGCGGTGATATAGTTTGGGATGCGGTGATAAAGTTTGGGATGCAGTGATAAAGTTTGGGATGCGGTGATAAAGTTTGGGATGCGGTGATAAAGTTTGGGATGCGGTGATAAAGTTTGGGATGCGGTGATAAAGTTTGGGATGCGGTGATAAAGTTTGGGATGCGGTGATAAAGTTTGGGATGCCGTGATAAAGTTTGGGATGCCGTGATAAAGTTTGGGATGCGGTGATGGTAGCTGGGGAAATGTTGTTGGTTTGGCCAGCATTGTTCGCACACAACTCGCACATTGGGTGATGGCAGCAGAGAATGGTTGGGTGCGGAATAGTGATGGAGTGATGGGGTGATTGCAGCTGATAGAAATTTCTAAATCTCTCTGTCTGCCACACCTTCCCTTGCACTTCTACCTCCCATCCCATCGCATCCCGCCAGGTGGTGCTATATGCGGACGAGTCGGCTGATAGTGGCATCTGAGTTGAGTCGACTCAAGGGTTCCTTTGCGTGCTCTCCTTGTCTGCTCATACTGCCACACCCAACCTCCCACTGAATCTACCTCCCATCCCATCGCATCCCACCAGTTGGTGCTATATGAGGACGAGTCGGCTGATAGTGGCATCTGAGTTGAGTCGACTCAAGGGTTCCTTTGCGTGCTCTCCTTGTCTGCTCATACTGCCACACCCAACCTCCCACCGAATCTACCTCCCATCCCATCGCATCCCACCAGTTGGTGCTATATGAGGACGAGTTGGCCGACAGTGGCATTACAGTCGACCCCTGGCCACTCCTTCCCTTCCTCCGCACCTCTCTCAACCGCTCTCTATATCTCCCTCTGCCCATACCGCCACACCCAACCTCCTATGCAACTCCCATCCCACCAGGTGGTGCTATACGAGGACGAGTTGGCTGACAGTGGCATCTCCCTCCTCACTGCCAGAGCCGTGAGTACCACCCACCCTGCTCTTCCTCCCTCCCCACCCCGCTCCCCCAACCCTTCTCCCCTTTGAAAGATTGGCTACGGGGTGTTGTATATTCGGCCCCAGAAGAATCTAATAACTAAATAAGCACCCATCCTCACTGCCAGAGCCGTGAGTACCACCCACCCACCCTGCTCTTCCACCCTCTCCCACTCCCCCGACCCCTCTCCTCCCCTTAGTAAGATTGGCTAAGGGGTGCTGTATATTCACCCCCATAGGTTTTTTTAAAACTAAATATGCAGCAGCTGCTGGGCTGTTTCCGTTCCGAGACACCTCAATGGCTTGAACTATGGGTATGTGTATATGTGTGTATGCATATATGTATATATACACATTTGCATGCATAAACTTATGTAGATAAGCCATTTTCTTGAATTGCATGTGTGTGTACACAATAGTATCTGCATCCCTCACTCTCCTCATTCCCTTTCATTATATTTTTATTTCCTTCTTTTGCCTTCTTTCAATTGTTTGTCAATGCCCCTGTCCCTGAACGCAGAGGGTCATGCCAACCTGCTGGTTCATCCCTAAGTTGGAAAAAACACGTTTCGCGTTTTGTACGCTTTCGTATAAACGCAAGCGTCTAAACGCAAAACGCTGGCCGGGAGGGGTCTGGTACGCACAAGAATCCGCTTGCCCGGGCAGGAAAAAAAAATCCCCGGGCAGGTTAGATGCTCGACCAAGAGATGGAAACCGGAGCTGCTGTAGTAATCCATTACCTAACTGCTGCTGTAGTAGGTCATCGTCGAAGTGAAGAGGAAGAAATCGAACGCAAAGATTATTGAAGGGAAAAGCGGCCTGACATTGAGTGAGTCTGGTAGAAGTTGGCAACAAATTGGATGGGGTGAAGGTGGGTTGTGAGCGGTGGATAAGAGGGAATGATCCATCAACAATCTCGAAATTCAGATCTGAAGTTGCTTTAGCAACGCGCGAACTCAGATCTGAATTTCGAGACTCAAATTTGAGTTCGCCAGATCGCGAACTCATCTGATTTTTTTTTTCCGGTCAGCCCGAGCCAAATTTGGCGAATTTTAGAAAAATCCGCAGCGTACGAATTCTAGATGCGTATAAACTCAATACGCAACTTGAAACAAGCGTTTTTTCCAACTTAGGTTCATCCTTGAGTAAACTGAAAAATAACTCTATTTTCTTTCTTGCCCACCCTTGCCTGTCACTGAGCGCAGAGGGTCATGCCGACCTGCTGGTTCATCCTCCTCCGCTTCTGGGTGAGTCCTTCATCTGACGTCACCATCTCCCATACATCTCCCATCTGACGTCACCATCTCCCATCTGACGTCACCATCTCCCACACATCTCCCATCTGACGTCACCATCTCCCACACATCTCCCATCTGACGTCACCATCTCCCATCTGACGTCACCATCTCCCATCTGACGTCACCATCTCCCATCTGACGTCACCATCTCCCATCTGACGTCACCATCTCCCATCTGACGTCACCATCTCCCATCTGACGTCACCATCTCCCATCTGACGTCACCATCTCCCATCTGACGTCACCATCTCCCATCTGACGTCACCATCTCCCATCTGACGTCACCATCTCACATCTGACGTCACCTTCTCACATCGGACCCCTGCTCCTCCAACACTGCGCCATGTCATTGCAGTGATGCCTTGTCCTGTCTCGTCTCTTTCGATACCCATCTCTCTCTCCCCCATTCCCCTCAGATGCCTGTGTGAAGAGCTCTCGTCTGCCTGTGCAACCCTCCATCCCCCTCCTTTGTCTCCCTTCCTGACTCTTCCCTGCTAGTGTCCCTTTCACCCGCTCCCCGCCTCCTCCCCTCCCCCCACCCCTCACTGCGTGTGGTCTCAAAGAAAGGTTCTAGCAAGAGCTAGGTTTAGGAGTGAGTAGCGAGATAGATGAGAGAAAAGAGGAGCACTAGGCAATCATTTATTTATATATATATATGTATATTCAAATATATCTTCTGACATGTGGATGGAGCTCTGATAGGCCTGCGTGACTCACACAAGAGCCTCTCCCCCTCTTTCTTCTCCCCCTTCTCCTCCCCTCCCCCCTCCCCTCAGCTGCGAGTGGACGGGGCTCTCATGCGCCTGCGCGACTCGCGCTTCTTCTGCGCCTTCACCACCACACCTGCTCCCGTGAACCCTTTCTCTCCGCCATCCGCCCTCGCATGCCCTCAGCCTCCAACCTCAGCTTCCCCCACCCTTGCAACCGCCGCTGCAACAGCAGCCCAAACCGCTGCAGCAGATGCTGCTGCTGCTGTTTCTGCTGCAGCTGCAGTATCACACTCGCATCGCACACAGCAGCAGCAGCAGCAGCAGCAGCAGGAAAAGGAGGAGAAGCGAGATATGGGCCGGGATGGGCAAGATAGAACACGGGATGAGGAGGGGAAGCATGGCATGCCTATGGTCGTTCGAGAGTACACGGAACGAGAGGACACTTTCGCTGCTCTGGTTGCTGTATGCACTCTGCTTTCTAGAATTCTCAAAAATACCTTGCTCTCTTGCTGTTTAGCTCCCTTGCTCCTTTGCTCCCTCGCTCCTTTTCTTCTTTGCTCCCTTCCCCACCACTCCAAGTATCTCGCCTACATACCCATGTACAGACCATACACTCTCCCCACCTGTCTGTAAACCTATTCACCACTCTGGATACATTTCGATATTTCCCATTATTTCCCGTGTGCCTGGTTTCCGTCTTATCTGCCTGCTGAAAGGTTTGCTGTCTCCCTCCCTGCTGCCACCCGAATGGCAGAAAGGGTATCCTTCCTAACCAACAATGGATACCCAGTTGATTTTTGAGTCGGCTTAAAAGTCAACTCACTGCCACCCGAGTGGCAGAAAGGGTATCCTTCCGAACCAACGATGGATACCCGTTCTGCCACTCGGGTGGCAGCAGGGAGGGAAAACCCTCCCCGCAACCCCTTTGCCCCCCCCCTGCTGCCTGGCTGCCCCCCCCTGCTGCCTGGCTGCCCCCCCCTGCTGCCGCCTGAGTAGCAAAAAGGGTATTAGTCCGATCCAACAATGTCTCTCCCCGCATGCATCCCATGTGCTCCCCCCCCTGCTGCCTCCCTGCCTTTCAAGTCACCGACAAGCTCTCTCTCATGTGCTGCATCCCTCCTGCCTCTGCTCCCCCCCCACCCCCTCCTCTTGGTCTCCTGCAGAAGGGTTACCCCTCGGATCCGGCATTCTATTCGGACCCCTTTCAAGTCACCGACAAGCTCGCCATCGTGCGCTCTCAGACAGAGAAGTTGCTGACAAAAAGACGCGTGGTGGTGCTACAGTAGAGCATACCATACAGGGGTAGTTTGTTTGTGAAGGGCTAGACCCCACTTGTTTAACACCCCCCCCCCCCCCCCCCCCCCCCCCCCCCCCCCCCCCCTTTTTTTTTTAACACCACATTCTTACTAAGTTCCTAATTACAGGTGTGGAGATTATGTTAGCAGTTTGACTAAGATACGTAACAATGGGCCCATGTCTCCTGATATGTAATAATGAGCCCATGTCTCCTGATGGGCCTAATGGGCCCATGTCTCCTGATGGGCCTAATGGGCCCATGTCTCCTGATGGGCCTAATGGGCCCATGTCTCCTGATGGGCCTAATGGGCCCATGTCTCCTGACTGACAGTAGCTCGTGTTCGTGTTCGTGTTCGTGGCAGTACACAGTTCAGGAATCAGGGTGCCCTGTCAAGCAAGCTCACTCCATTGCCTGTCCCTGTGCGGCAAATCCGAGGTGACTTTTGAGTCGACTAAAAAAACTGTCCCTGTGCGGCAAATCCCAGAGCGCCACGTGGCAAGGCAGGCCATGGAGGTGGCAAACCAGTTTCAAGGTCATTGGTGCACAGCTGTGAGCGGCGATGGAGCGGTGAGTGAAGGTGCAGTGTGGTGCTGGAGGGGCGATCTGTTGTGGAGGCAGTGAGGCTCAGAGGTTTCTGTAAGGGTTATCTACGGTAAGGTCACACTTTTCCTTTAGTGCGCTCTGCTTGCGTTCTTTGTGACGAATGTGTTTAAATGCTTGATTTCAGAATGCAAGGGTCTAGTGTTGAGTTGTCTCAGGCCAGTATCAGTTACTACATTGCATGCTCAATGCGTTGATCATACAGTAGACCGATGGTTCATCCCATGTTTCCAAGCACAATTCCTGCTCGTCGAACCACATCATCTCCTGCTGCCTCTCCCCGAATCACATCACATCCGCAAGCTGATGCCTTTGCCACTAATGCATCTACCACACACACAAGACGCTGCCACTCCCTAGGTACAGATATGGGGCAGCACGCGCACCTCTCAACCCGCTGCAGCGACGTGAGATTCTCCCAATGCTCCTCCTCCTGCACATAAGCCCTGAGCAAGCGTTCCAGTTGGTCAGGCTCTCTGGCTTGCTCCACAGGGCAGGCAAATCTATCAGATTGGAGGATGTGGGAGAGGGAGAGGTGATGCAAGGACGTGAGGTGGCGCATCCAAGGAGGTAAGCGAGGGCCCACATGGCAGTTAACAAGAGACAGCCGTTGCAAGCAAGGCAGAAGCTGCTGCTTGCTGCCATGCTTACTTCTGCAGCTGCTGCTGCTGCTGCTGCTGCTGCTGCTGCTGCTGCTGCTGCTGCTGCTGCTGCTGCTGCTGCTGCTGCCGCTGCTAATGCCAGTTATCTCGTTGCTGCTGTCTTCATTAAAGCCGCCATTGCCCTCCTCTTCCTCTCCACCCCTCCTCCGACCTTCTCCGCCAACCTTAGTAATTTCCTCCGTAACCCGAACCTCGTCGATACTAAACTTTACAAAGACCCCCTCAGTCACCTCCAGTCTCTCCAGCTCACGCAAGCGCAACACCTCACTGCCAAAGTCATCTGTGTGAAGCTCTTGCACCCGCGGGGGCAGCACAAACTGTGGCCTCACCCTCCCGTGATGTGCGATGATGGACTTGTTCTTGTTCTCACGCCCCCGGTGCACCACCAGGCGACGCACCGAGTGCAGCTGCGGCAGGAAATCTATCGGGATAGTTAGATTGTGGTTTACTACGAGGGCGAGATCGCGCAGCAAGGGGAGCTCCGGCAGGCAGTCAGGGAGCGAGTTGAGCCCATGGCAGCGCGTGATGACCAGACGGTGCAGGGAGGAGAGGCAGGAGAAGGAGGGCGGTAGCTCGTGCAGCAGAGGAAGGTCGTGCAGCCATAGCTCCCTCAGGCTTGGAAATCTGAAGGCGAAAGGGACTTGTGCAGAGGCATTTACAGCATAATAGGCATTTATAGTATTCATAGCATTTATAGCATTTCTACCATATGTAGCATTTATAGCATTTATAGCGTTTATACCATTTATAGCATTTATAGCGATTGTAGCAAGGAGAGGGCAGTTGTCAATCGCAAGGATGGAGAGGCGAGGGGAGGAGGAGGAGGAGGAGGAGGAGGAGGAGGAGGAGGAGGAGGAGGAGGAGGAGGAGGAGGAGGAGGAGGAGGAGGAGGAGGAGGAGGAGGAGGGGTTGAGGAGTGAGGAAGGGCCTGTGAGCGCTGTGAGGTTTGGGAGGTCGCGAATCTCCATGTGGGACAGGCTGCGCGACGGGAAGCACGGCACGGTATGGAGGTTGGCGCATCGCTCTATAACGAGTACAGAGAGCGATGGGCAGTGAGTACGCAGTGGATCGCAGATGACAGTCAGGTTGGGAAGATTGTTAAGCTTTAAGGTGTGCAGGCTGGGAGGAGGAGTGAGGAGGGAAGAGAAGCGCGGGCAGTTCTCAATGGAAAGGATGGTGAGGGACGGGCAGGCGGCGGGCAGGGAAAGGCATTCGGGCAGGTGGGAAAGTTTTGGAAGGTTGCGCAGCACCAGATGTTGCAGGCTGGGCATGCGAATGGGAGGTTCGAGCATTGACCTGGTTGACTCGGTTGACTCGGAGGCACTGCTGCAACCAGCCGAAAAGGAGGAGCCTGAGTAGCCGTCCAGCACGAGGCGCGTGAGCGAGTGGTGCTGGAGGATGCCACGTGGCAGGTGCTGAAGGGCTGACACGTCAGCAAGCTCGAGGTGTTGCAGTTTGGAAGAGAAGAGGGGGTGCCGCGGCTGTACTGCTGCCGTGACAGTGGGGACACCACCACCCTGCTTACTCTGACTGTCAACCTGTGACGGCTGCTGCTGCTGCTGCTGCTGCTGCTTCTCTTGGCAGCGGTGGAGCTTCTTACGTCGGCGCCGCTGTCGCCTTCTCCACTGAGGCGGCAGTTGCTGCCCATAGCTTGCCCCCACATCCCCCCCTTCACTCTCACCCCCCGACACCATGGAAACAACCACGTTATGAGCATCGTCAGATTCAATGCCCTTCCTTCGCCCTTCCCCCACGCCACGTTCCCCATCCTCCCCCTGAAAACGCACAGCTGCCAGCCCACAGCCGTCCCTGGGCGTTCTCCAAGCATCGAGCGTCACCGAATAGCATCTTTCTACACGAATGCGCTGCAGGGACGGCAGCAGGGCAAGCGACTCTGGAAGCTGCCGCAGCGCCAAGCAGTCCCTCAAAACCAGCTCCTGCAGACACGTCAGCTGCCCAAGAGATTTTCCAGGGAGACACGTCACCCCCTCCCCTGCGCCACGGATTTCCAAGCACAGTAGGGAGGGCGCCAAGGGGGAGAGCCTCGGGATTGCCGCAACGCCAACGAGCGACAGTGACGTCAGCTGCAGCAGCGCTGCCAGGCGAGCGATGAGCCAATCACTGACGGTCCCTCTGCTGCTGCTGCTGATGCTTCGGCAAGAGTCCCCGTGTAGCGTGAGGGAGCGCAGGTGGGGGAAGGCGGAGAGCGTACGCAGGAGGGAGCGGGGGTGTAATAGCAGGCCCGGGGAAACAGTGATGGCGCGCGGGAGACTCTCAGAGAGGCGCAGCCAGCGGCGGCAGACTAGCGCGCACGTGAGCAGCGGCGGGGTGGGGGAGACGTCGGTGCTATTTGCCTTGCGGCAGGAGCATGTGGGGTCTTTACATGGCAGCTGCTGCTGTTGCTTATAGCCCCAGCGATCGCGGGTGGTGATGGTCATGGCGTTAGGGCACGGCTCTGTTGATGGAGAGCCGCGGCTGCTAGTAGTACTGCCATTTGCATCGATGCCTGTCGTCGCCGGTCCATCAACGGCTTCGCTGTTGTGGCTGCTGGTGGTCAAAGAAGGGGCGCTGCTGCTGCCGCTGCTGCTGCTACTGATGACGCGGATGATGCTCAGCAAGATGACATCTGGCAGCCGATCAATGTCGCACGGCGAACACGCGATGCAAGCAGCCGTATGATTCGACTCAGTGGCTGCCGTTCGATCTAACGGATTGCGACGGATCGAGACGGGAGGCGCCGGCGGCTGCGGTGATACGCAGCGGTTGCGCGACTCGTCCATTGATGAAAGCGGGAATGGTCAAGGCCGGAAGGATGGAAGAACGGATATGCAAGGCAATGAGGGTTTCCAACGCTTGTTTCAGATAGGATAAAATAGGTAAATGATATTGCTATCGACGCTATACGATCGTACTACGCACAAACGGTGGTGGAAGGAAGGTGTCTGGCAGTATCTGGGGCTTGCGCTGCTTAGAATCAGAACGAAAATCTGGGGAATGAAAGGCTGAAGATGGCCATTTCTACTCCGCGCTGGCGAAAGTAACAGACACGTAACAAAATGGCGCGAAAATTAGGTGTATCTGTTAGGCGCTGGCAAAGCAGGCGCCACGTCATTAATTCCTTAGTACCCCAAACCACCTGTTGTCTGTTGACGTTGCTGACCAAACCAAACGCACACGCCAGTTTGGTTGGAGGGGTTTGACCGAGAGGACCAACTGTTACAAAATAGGAGTGCAGATTTATATTTTTACTACAGGTTCGGAGGAACAAAAGAAATCAGGTCTGAAAAGTGCCATACCCCATCTGACGTCCCTGCAAGGCAAGGATTGAAGCAACTTCTCCTGGTTGTCGTATGTCAGTTCATCAAGATGCGTTTCAAATAAGCAAACCGACCAAGTCGTACTCCAACTAGGCAGCCTTTCATTCATCGGCAAGATTTGGCTTGATTGAGGTGCATTCTACAGCACATCAGGTACTTGAATAAATACATAATATACATGCATTCACAGTTACCGTATCACCTTACTCATCACATTTGAGAGGCATCGTAGTAATAGAGCTGTTAATTCAGGCATTACCATACCATACCCAGAAGCAGTCTCAGCGGCTAGTCATTATCATCGTTCTCCTTATTAACAAAGATGGTGTCCGCCATGGCAACGAGCGCTAAAATCAGAGCCATATCAACGTTTGGCTTGATGCGCACAGCATACGTGTGCGTGCTCAGAAAATCCCTCACGGACCAGATATCCCTCTCCACCTGTGCCAACAGAAGCCCGCTGCTCGAGGTGATCTGAGCAACAAAGAAAGCACAGGTACAGGGGAGGAAGAGCATATCAACGTTTGGCTTGATGCGCACAGCATAAGTGTGCGTGCTCAGAAAATCCCTCACAGACCAGATGTCCCTCTCCACCTGCGCCAGCAGAAGCCCGCTGCTTGTGGTGATCTCAGCAATGTGAGCAATAGAGCAAGCACGGGGACAGCCACAGGAACAGGGACGGAAAGGCATCAAGGCATGATGAGCTTCTGCACCAAATCCCTGACAGACCAAATGTCCCGCTCCACCTGTGCCAACAGAAGCTCGCTGCTTGTGGTGATCTGAGAAACAACAAAAAGGTATCAGCAGCATGGAAAGGACAGGAACGGGGGGGAAGAGGCATCAGGTGTGTTGGGGTTCACACGTTGCCCACTCCCTGGCAGACCAGATGTCCTTCTTCTCCACCTGCGCCAAAAGAAGTCCACTGCTCGTGGTGATCTGAGAACAGAGAGTAAGCACAGGAAGACGGAGAGGGAAAGAGAGGCGACAGGCATATTGAGCTTGAAGAACCAATCTCTGGCAGACCAGACCAGAGGTCCCTCTCCATCTCCACCAACTCCAGCCCGCTGCTTGCCATGATCTGAGCAACAGCGCAGGCACGGGGACAACGCAGGAGAAGGATCCACTGGGTTTGAAGCACGTGTGCCGGACGCTCTAGACGCTCTCCACTGCGCCAGCATAAGCCCGCTACTTGTCGCGATCTCAGCAATAGAGCAAGCACATGGAGAAGCGGAGAAGCAGAGATGCATCAGGCATGTTGGGCTTCATGCATCAACTCCCTGGCCGACCAGATGTCCCTCTCTACCTGCACCAACATGAGCCCGCTGCTTCTCATGATCTGAGCAAAGAACAAGCATGGGGGAAAAGGTAGGAGAAGGTCGGTTGGAGATATTCAGCTGGGTATGCCTGGCACAGTGAGAGCCTGTGGCCTGCCCATACAGTTTTCCACTTGTCTGCACGTCCCTTTCCTATCCACCTGCATCAACTCAAGCCTGCTGCCGATGTTGACCCGATCAATGGAGCAAGCATAGGGGCAGGCCCAGCTATTCTGACTGAGATGGGAGTACCCAGCACAGTAGGGTTGCTTCCCTGTGCCAAAGAAAAGTTAGGGACAATCACTGTGATACGTGTGCACAGCACATCACATGTACTGTGATACAGGTGGGAGAATCGAAGAAAGAATGTCCAGGGCGGGGGACAGGGGATCAAAGATCTCAGCTCGCATGTTTGAGTGTCTATCTTGGCTTAAAGATTCTCACGCACACACGGGAAACTGGCTGCCTGAATACATACAGTGAACTCGTGCTGAAAAAAATCGCCTTTGAGAACGATGTCTGGCTTGTTGTCAACTGAATTCCCTTTCAGAAAGATCTGCGGAGACGTGGAACAGCATGGCAAGAAGAACGGAAAAGGATACGCGTTCAGATCAAAACCTGCAGCTTAGCACCTGGTTCTGGAGAAGTGACACATTTTGGCCACTCAAACCCTGGAGAAGTGACACATTTTGGCCACTCAAAACCTGGAGTAGTGCCAGAATCTGGCGTTTCGTTCCCTCCCTCGCTCACTCATTCTCTCACTCTTTCGCTCGCTTGTTCACCGACTCGTTCGCTTGCCCTGGGAACAGGTTTCCAGGGAAAGGAACACGCTCTGGCAGTCACCAGCTCTTTTGAGATGCCTCAAATCACCTTTCACGGACTGACACCCTGCTCACTCCCTCACTCACTCTCTCTCTCTCAGTGATAGCTCACTCCTCGCGCACTCACTCACTCACAAATTAACTCACTCCCTCGCTCCGTCGCTCTCTCACTCACTCGCGCAATCACATAAAGAATGAAGAACCAGGAAAAGAGCTTGCTCCTGGAAGTGAGCAGCGCTTTGAAAACCCTGCTCAATGCTCACTCCCTACCCCACCACACAGCTCACTCTCACTCCACACTCTCTCTGTCCCTCCTTCCCCCCTTCACTCACATTAAAGAGGAGTGCAGTAAAGGGATTTTGTCCTGGCTCGCTCGCTGCTCCTTCATTCCTCACCCAGTCACTCTCTCCCTCCCTCATGCACTCGCAATAGGAATGGGTGTTCAGGTTAAAAACTTGCTCATGGTTGGAAACTGAGCAGCGTGTGTTAAGCGCCTCAAGATCCTCTCATGGACTGATGCTCGATGCTCACTCCCGCACTCACATTGAGGACGGGTTTCCAGGACAAGAACTTGCTCCGGGCAGTGAGGAGAGCGTCCCACCTCGTCCTGGAGCTTGAAAGATGGCCTTGCGCTCGCTCACTCTCCCTCACTCACTCATTCACTCCCTCACTCCCTCACTGCCTCCTTTCCTCCCTCACTCACCCATTCGCTCACGCACTCACATTGAGGATGGGAGTCCAGGAGAAGAACTTGCTTCGGGCAGTGAGCAGGGCGTCACGTTTATCCACGCTGGCGCCCGGGCACAGGTAGGTCTCGTCGTGCAGCGACAAGGCCTTGCTGGTCAGCGAGCACACCGGCTCGTCCTGGGCGTTGAAGATTGTCTTGCGGTTGCGCCACGAGAACGCCCTGCGCGAATGTGGGGGGGGAGAGGAGGGGGGAAAGCAGGGAGAAGGCCTTGCTCGTCTGTGAGTAGACCGCCTCGCCCTGGGCCGTCCCGCCACCGGCAGGCGAGAAGGCCGGCAGGCAGTAGAACGCCTTGCGTGAAGGCGGTGCGAGAAAAGAAACAAAAGAAGAAAAGGCATAGAGAGTGGAAAACAGAGAAAGAGAACACACACGCGAACGCACACACACAGAGAAAAAGGGAGGGCTGTTACATCCCGTGTGACGTGACTGTTTTTGGAAGGTTTCTTCTCTGTGAGTCAACCTCGGTCACAGATGCTGTTGAGAATGCTCAACGGTGATTGAGGTTACCAGCAACTGCCCAGCTTTGACCACAAAATTGCACGTGAAAAAACTCTTTCTTTCTCACACCGTCCTCCCCTTTCCTCCCCCCCCCTCCTTTTCCCCTTCCCACCCCCTCCTTCCATTTCCCCTCCTCCTTACCCTCACCCTCCACCAAGAAATGAAAACAACAACGAACTTTAGAGTGGTTGACTTCTGAGTCGACTCAAGAGAGTTACTTGTCCTTGGTCTTGAAAAAGAGCTGGCCTTGCGTGTCATATACGTCCGCTTTGTCGTGTAGCGACCACATTTTCTCCTTCAATATAAGCACCGTCTCGTACGGGAGGCAGTACTGAAGCCCCACCACCACGTACGGCTCCGTCGGCCCGACGGTTGGCGTGGGCGACGGGATGGGGACATTGGCGACGGGATTGGCGACAGGATTGGCGACAGGCGTGCCAGTTGCGACCGTAGCGACAGGCGCGCCAGTGGCGACGACCGGCGTGGTACTGGCGAGGGGCGTGGCGACGTAATTGGGGGGAATCGATGCGGACATGTTGCCGCTGATATAAGAACGCGGCCTGTCGGTAACCTCGGCTAAGGCTCGGTCGAGGCGCGGAAGAAGTAGATTACAGGAAAGGCTGAGGCTCGGATATAACATTACACCAGTTCCGGATAATAATCGCTGTGACGACGTTCTTACGGGGGCTCGGATATAAGAATCAGACAAAGTACAGACAAAACAACCGATATCAGCGAATAGTGAATAGAACTGCCAGGAAGCTATTGTACTGAGATCAGGAACTCCACGTAGACATCATAATGTGCAGCCTAACTACTCGCGACGCGGAAGCTTTCGAGAGTTATGAATGAAAGGCTTGCTGGTTTCACGCGCGAGAGTATGATCGGACATCACTGACGAAACAGACGAGTGAGCTGCGTGTGTCTCGTGACAAAGGAGAAAGTGCCAGGAAGGCAGGCGGCGGGAAGCAAAGCAGACAACGCGCGGGCATGTACGGTACACGCGATGCCGTGAACGGCCAGTCATTGGCGCGGGATTGGCGCTTATATGCTAGTGTGCTAAAAACGCTTATCTGAATGTGGACTGGATCCTAGGCAACATCGGAGGCACAGCCTCTGTACTGTGCGGAAACAATTCGGAGGTGGCAGTGTTTTTCCTGATCAGTGAGTGCGATGCGGTCCGGAGGTAAATGAACAGAACTCGGTGAGGGGAAATCGGTGATTGATGAAAATCGGACGACCAATAGAATAGCCACGTGCCGTCACTCCCAAGGCAATACAGCGATAATCAGCTAAAGAAACAAAACGTTTTACAGAAAACAGAATCTCACAACAAAGGTAAGCACTGAATTCTTCTACAATAATCAAACCAGGCCAAGCCCCTAAAAACAGTATTAGGAGGTTCCCATTTAAAAATTCTCTGTTACAAGGATAAGCTACCAATAAATGATTTTAGATCAGTCTTCATCAACTACGGTATCCAGGCAATTGCGGTATGGTACGGTAACAGTACCTTTATCAGCAGTTACCACAAATCAATTATGGACTACAACAGCTGTAAAGGAGCAGACCTACTTGTCATCTTCTCTGTTGACGAAGATGTTGTCAGCAATGGAAACAAGGCCCAGAATAAGAGCCCTGTCCACATTGGGCTTGATGTGCACCGCGTATGTTTGAGTCGCCAAGAAAATATCCTTGGCCTGTAACTTACGGTCCACCGTTGCCAAGAGACGACCGCTAGAAGTGGTAATCTGCAAGTGTAGGGAAGGGAGAAGAGAAACCCGTCATACTAACATATGCAAAGCACGCTACATATTCTCTTAAACCCCAGCTTTCGGAGCATTCTGGAAAACGAGAACACAGGCATCTGATTTCTCAATGCAGTGATGCAGTAGGTGGACGTAATAAAACAGGTAACAGACACAGTTAAGAAAACAAGACAGACCGCGCTGGCCTACAAGCTGACAGCCATTGCAAGGACGTACAGTAAAGTCGTATTGAATGAAATTTCCCTTGAGAATGATGTCAGGTGCATCATCTGACGTGTTCCCTTTCAGAAAAACCTGAACAAGAATCAAACAAAAACGGATGGGATAAGGAGAAAGTTACACCACCCTAAGCTTGAATACATAAGAGAAAGAAACGTTAACTCACTGTACATACGCTCAGTGTAAGCAGCATCAAGATATAGCATTGATGGTGTGCCATGCGAACGTTTGCATCAAGGTTGGCCCTACAATCTACTTGAAAGAACGGCTCCAATTGCCTCTTTTAATTTTCACAAGCTATGAAGAAACAACTCAGTGACACTCACATTGAGAATTGGTGACCAGGTCAGCACGACGCTCTTGGCGGTGAGCAACGCGTTGTCGGGTTCCGCGTCGGCGCCAGCGCAGAGGTACGTGGTGTGGCTGAGGGAGAACACCTTGCTAATCATGGAGCAAACGGGCTCATCCTGCGCGTTGAAAATGGTCTTGCGCTCCTTGATATCCCATGCCCTGCCACATTGGTGATAAGCATTGGGAAACGCGGCGAGGATGCGGAGCCACTCATTAGGGTGGTCACGGATTTTTCTCCGTGTTTTATTATGCGAACTTTGGACCTTGAGTAGGCGAAATTGGAACGTCGCTATGTAGTCGCAATTTACGTACTTTTCCTCGGTCCTGAACACCAGTTGTTCCTGACCGTCGCGGATCTCGGCCTTCTCACGCAGCGACCACATCTTTTCCTTCAGTATAAGCACCGACTCTTCCGGCAGGCAGTACTGGCTTCCCACCACCACGTACGGCTCGTTTGAGTCAGCCATGGCCAGAGCTGCTCGGGGAAAACTCGGGTAGACTGCGACTGTCGAAGGACTGAGCTGGATCTCAGTTTGAAGATGCTAGTAGCGTGGCGTCGGAGGAAACTGATCACACGTCGACAAATGTTGCTCTGACATTTCGAATTGACTCAGGCAAGGAATACAGTAGGTAGCTCGTGAAGGCCTTTTGGAAGGTGCATTGAAACTGACCTATCAAACTTTACGTGCACTCAACCGACTCGCCGTGAACATGGATGGAATGGTGCACTAGGACTATGCCCGTAAGTGCTTGTGACGGAAACGACGCCACGTCATCCGTGGAACCCGTGAAACAAATCGGGACTTGGTGCGTTTGCCGCGGTGCAGTTCGTCGCACGCTGTCTCTCAAACCCGCCCGGCGGGCGGCATGAGAGCTGGTGATGGAAAATCATCGGACGGATAAGAGGGCGGCAGCACCTCGTTGTATCTTGCGCAATGGCCAGCTTCATTGTTTTCCACCACCCATCAAGCACGAATTGTGTTGGTTCACTCAGGAGGAATCAGGAACCCCCCAACTGTAGAGTCCTCTGTATTCACCGCTTTGAATCTCTCAACACGCCGTTCTTCGAGTGATTCATTGAGCTGCACCTGGGATCTCACTCACCCGCGGAGACTGATCGCGCACTACTGGGGGAGGGATGCGCGACGCGTTGCGAGATGATTCGACGAGGGGGATGCGAGGGGAATGAATGGACGCGGGGTTCTGAGCGAGAGGTGTGACAACTTGGAACAGCGAGTGGTGGTGGGTGTACGGGCAAATCTTCTGACAGCGATTTTCATTCCGAAGATTCCGAACCCCCTCAGCACTGGAAATCACAATCTCAATCGTGCTGATAAGTTGTGTTTCCTTCAGGGTACACTTCAAGAAAGTTTAATTCTAAATTAACCGTAAGTCATGCACATATCCTCGCAAAAGATGGGATGTGTAAGGAGTTTTCGGCATTCCTTACCGCCCATCCATCTTAACATCGCATAAAGGACGAAATGTTGGCTTTCTATTAAAATCGTGAGCCCTGGGTGCGGTAGATGTTTAATAAAGAGATTAGCAAATACTAAATGAAACAATGCATTCCTTCCTGCTGCTAGGAGCCTAGCTGCCTACTGCTTGACAAAGAGAGCATGGTACATGGGTGAGCCCTGCAGCAGCAAGATGACTGTTGAGTCGACAGAACAGAAGCCAGTTTCAGTCAAGTCGCCTCAAAGCAAGCTCATTGCTTAACAAAGAGAGCACGGTACATGGGAGAGCCCTGCAGCAGCAAGATGACTACCGTAATAAGTTGACTCATAAGCCTTGTTCATTCGACTCAAAGCAAGCTCATTGCTTAACAAAGAGAGCGCGGTACATGGGTGAGCCCTGCAGCAGCACCACCACCTCCCTCTCACTCGGCATTCCCAAGGGGTTGTGATCCAGCCACCTTATTGCCTCTCCTGCACACCCTTCCCCTGCGCTCCCCTCCCCTGCGCTCCCCTCCCCTGCGCTCCCCCCACCTGCCCGCTCCTGCCACACACTTTCCTCTCCTTCCGCCCCCACACCCGTTCCTCCTGCTGCAACAAGGTCGCTCGGAACAAATCTCACCGTTGCCACACCTTTGATATATGTGGAGCTCTCCTCTCCCTCGCTCTCACTCTCCCCTCCCCCACCCTCGCTCTTCCCTCTCCCCCTCTCATCCCCAGCATACCCCTCCCCTCCTCCCCTCCCATGCCCCGCAAACTGCCGGTACATGTCAGCAGCCACCTCTTCCACGTCAGACTCCACAAAAACATGTCCACCTGGCACTAAAACCCGGCCAATCGCCTCCACCAAACCCCGCTGCACCACCCGCCGCTTCCGGTGCTTATTCTTAAAATGCGGGTCGGGGCAGAGGATGGAAACAGCTACTAGTGGTCCCGGATAAGTCGCCAGCACGGATTCGAGCGCTGACGTGGCATTGGCGACGACAAAGTGCGCGTTGCGCAGCGCCAGCTGGCGGCGCCACGTGTCGGCGCGCTGCACGAGCTTGTCGCGGATTTCGAACCCAAGGAAGTTGAGCGGCGGGGCGGGAAGGAACGACGGCGACAGTAGCAGTGGCGAAGTTGCTGATGCTAATGGTAGTGTGGCTGGTGATGACGAAAGTACCGGTGATGATGGTGGTGATGCCGCCTTAGCATCTGACCCGCCCCCCTCCTCCCTTTCCTCCTTTTCCTGCCCCTCCTCTCCTTGCTCGCCCTCGTTTCCTTGTTGCTGCGCGCGCCATCTCCAGTCCCTCACAGCAAGCGCCAAAACCAGCCGCCCACTCGCCGACCCAATGTCCACCACCAGCGGCAGCGACGGGTCCTCATACACTGCCGCCCAGTCCACGGGCGGCGGCGGCGCCATTAGAGACGTCTTTAAGGGGTTCACGTGCTGCCGAACGCGCACCGGCAGCTGCGGATGGCCGTCCGCGAGTGGCGGGAGGCCTAGGGCGGCAAAAATCGCGTCGATTGACAGGCTGGCGCCTGCTGACGTGGCGGCCAGGGATTGGATCTGCGGCCACTGGGACGCGCCGTGCGGGACGAGCGGGCGCGTGCGCCACTCGGACATGCCCCTTGGAGTTGACTCCGTTGACTCGGTTGACTGGGCTTTTCTTGCCTTTCTCTCTGCGCGTCTGCTCCTGCGCCTGGCCCTCAGATCGCCGTCCTCAGCCTCTCCTACCCCATTTGTTCCCTCGGCGTCCTCTCTAACTTCCCCTCCTTCCCGTCCATCATACGCCGCCATTGTCACTGTCCCTTCCACACTTCCCCTCTCCTCAATCTCCTCTTTCTCACTCCTTTCTCTCCTCGCCGCGAAACTTCCGTCTTCCCCGTCAGCGCCGCCCGCGGTAGCTCCCTCTTTTTCTCCACAGGTTACCGCCTCCGCTCTCACCTCTGCCTCTTGCGTGGACGGCACAGTCGCCGCGAGACTCATAACCCCTGACGAAGCAACCAGTCTACTTAGCATTGGATTGGACAATCGGGAGAGAGGTAAGTTGGGAGTAAGTGATAACTTGAAGAGCCTTAATCGTGAGTCGCGAAACTCGTGGCGGGCGCGGCTGGCTGAGAGGCTGCGCGGTCCGTTGGGCGGATCGAATGTCTCGGGTCGCGGAGAGGCTAATGATCGCCACGTGGGCAGTTGAATGAGAAGAGATTGCGACGGCCTTTTAACGGGTATACTACTCGCATTGCGGCATCGCAGGACAAGGGACGGTCTTGTAGCGGCAATCGACCCCACCGCGGCGATTCCCATGGCGAAAACAGGAGTGCGGTTACTGCTGAAATGGTTACACTCCCGGCATAGCACGGGAAAGCACTACCTGGGCTTCCAATCCACTCCCTCCTTACGCGTGGCCTATGCGAGAAAACACGCTGCCGACCCCAGCAGTAACGTTCAGGGACTTGCGGCGAGAGAAGCTTACCGCTACTGCGTCCAAGACGTGTCGCGCAGCGCGGATGGCGGCGGAAAAAACGGTGACGATGCAAGCGTGAATTGTTGTAAAATATTATGAGGCGGGTGGTAGGATGGCGAGGTTTACGGGATTATGTCGAGTACACAATGTCTCGTGGTTTAGCGGGATAAGTTGTGCAATGCACTTTTAAAGCTTGTAAAAAAAAAGTGTACACAATGGAGTTATGATTTTTGGCATAATGCCACTCCGTCTCCAACAGGCACCTGCACGTTGCAAGAAGCGAGATGAGTGGAATTATACTTAAAACACCAAGGCAGTCGATCAGGCATATGACAAAGTACAGACAATCACCATGCAGAATGGTACAAGAAAGTGGTACAAGCAAGCAGAGGAAATGCTACGAAATTTCCACTCCATTTCACTTACAATGCTATGATGGATCCGAGGATCATCACGAATGAATTTGTTGAATGCCCTGAGGTATTCCGTCTTGCGGTCAGTAACCTGAGAATTAAATGTAGTTGCAAAACAATAGAGGGCAAGTTTGATGCACGGTAAACGAATACTTCCACCAATGCACCAGCACAAAGGAAAAAAGCATCATGCACCCCTCATGTAGATCTGCAACTGTGAGCCACGTTATATGCAGTCTTTTTCTTGACATGCCATTTAAATGCCAGGAGCACCAAACAGCAAGGAGGGGAGCAGCAGAGAGCAATGGGCATGCCCCAAGAGGCCAGGTGGCAGAAGGAGCAAGAGTGACATTGACCATGGGCATGGGCATGGCTCAAGTGCCATTGACCATGGATGTGGGCATGGGCATGGGCATGTGCATGGGCATGGGCATGGGCATGGGCATGGGCATGGGCATGGGCATGGGCATGGGCATGGCTCAAGTGCCGTTGACATGTTGGCGGCTTTTCACCTGATATCACCAGAGTTAGAGAACTTTCACACAGCAGATGAATTGATGAAATCACCTGGAAACTCACCTGAGGATCAGCCAGCTGACCATGCCACAGCACGTTGTCAACCACCAGGAGACCCCCTGGCCTCAGCTGGCAGCAGGACGGGCATGTGTGGGGGAGGATGGCAGGGTTGTGGTGAGGAATAGTAGCCTCTTGCGGAGTAATGATGGATTCGAAACGCAGCAAGCCGTGTGGTATTTTTGGATTATCGGCATCATTCAGCATGTGAGGGCTGAAACAACACCAAAATCCAGAGACACCTCAACACAGTCATTAGCAGCATGGCAGCATGGATCCCATAGAGGCATGCATGGATGCATGGATGCATGGATGCATGGATGCATGGATGCATGGAGACACATTCATCAAGCTCCATGGTGAATTGGGGTGTTTGCGGGACGGGACAACTTCTGAGGCGCCTCAGAACCAGGTCAACGACATCAATAGCAGCATGGCAGCATGGATCTCATAGAGGCTTGCATGCATGCATGGAGGCCTATCCAGCTCCAGTGTGAATTGGATTGTTTGCATCACCGAAATACTTAGCCAGGACAACGACGTCAATAGCAGCATGGCAACATCCCATAGAGGCATGCATGGAAAGATAGCCACGTGAAATGAGTGTATTTTTCACGTCAACATCCCATAGAGGCACGCATGGAAAGATGTTCCATTGTCTACATGGTCATTCATTAGAGCGTGTTCAAGGAGCGGATGGGTGTCAGTCACCGAATGCTACAGATCCCATCACTTGAGAAACGAATGAACGTGCATCTGAAGTAACTGCGTTGAGGCTCTAGTTAACTAACAATCGTTACAGCGAGGTATGGAATTTATTAACAGACTTCGACTCACAAGGGTGAGAAGCAGCTCGTAGTAGTCTCGGTACATGCGCTTGTCCGCGTCCAGGAACGCAAAGTCAAAGCTGCAATGAGCCGAGGAGAGAGGGAAGGGAGGAGTGGGCGTGAATGATGGGTGCGGAGGAGAAACACTAGGAGACTAGTAACGGAGGAGTGGGTGAAAAGGTGAGCAGAAATATTTAGTATTCTCAGTATACCCGCTTGTTGCTTGGTACATCCGCTTACCGCATCTAGAAACACAACGTCAAAGCTGGGATAACCCGGGGAAAGAGGGAATGGAGAAGAGAAGTGAGTGAGACGGTGTCGTTTGAGTCGGCTTAAAGGGCATGGGTGGGAGACGACACAAGGTGGTGGGAGACGACACAAGGTGGTGGGAGACGACACAAGGTGGCGGCACATGATCTGCTGGCAACACAACACCTCCACAACTTGATGAAATGAAAGAACGCATGAAGTTGCTTGGTGGATCTATGATGCTGACATGACACCATAACTTGCGCCCTTGTGGTTCCACCAGCTGCTGCACACTGGTGCAGTCTCACCTCCCTTGTGGTTGTAGTCTCACCTGCCCCCCTGCCCTTCCTCAAGCTGCTGCAGCGTGTCCTGTGCCGGGCCTAACCGCGTGTCCTGTGCCGGGCCTAACCGCGTGTCCTGTGCCGGGCCTAACCGCGTGTCCTGTGCCGGGCCTAACCACGTGTCCACCCGGTGGGGCGTGGAGGATAGATGGGATGCTGTGGCGTGTGAACAGGTCACGCGCAAGCCACTGTGGCGTGTGAGCAGGTCACGCGCAAGCCACTGTGGCTCTGCTCTCACCTGCCTGCCTGCCCTTCCTCCAGCAGCTGCTGCAGCGTGTCCTGCGCCAGGCCCAGCCGTGCGTCTACCTGGTGGCGTGGGTGTGGGAGGCGAAATGGCAAGGGGCATGCAGAAGCAGGAGGAGGAGGGAAAAGAGAGGGAGATGGCGCTGCAGCTGCTGCGGCGTGTCCTCCTGTGCCAGGCAAAGCCGGGGGGCTACCTGCTGATGTGGGGTGATGCGTGTGGGGCAGGGAAGCAAACACAACACGTGTTGGAGCGAAGGGAGAAGGTGCAGCTTCTGCACGTGTCCTGCAGCACGTGTCCTGCAGCACGTGTCCTGCAGCACGTGTCCTGCAGCACGTGTCCTGCAGCACGTGTCCTGCAGCACGTGTCCTGCAGCACGTGTCCTGCAGCACGTGTCCTGCAGCACGTGTCCTGCAGCACGTGTCCTGCAGCACGTGTCCTGCAGCACGTGTCCTGCAGCACGTGTCCTGCAGCACGTGTCCTGCAGCACGTGTCCTGCAGCACGTGTCCTGCAGCACGTGTCCTGCAGCACGTGTCCTGCAGCACGTGTCCTGTCCTGCAGCACGGCCAGGGGGGGTTGAAGAGTACGCGAGGGCAGGCGGCGTTGAGAGGTGGTAGAGGAAGACGTGGCGTTGAAGCAGTAAGAGGGGGTTGGAGGGGGCCGAAACAGAGGGTTTAGTACTGCAGAGCAGAATGCGTGAGTGGGGTAGACGGAGCAGAATGCGTGAGTGGGGTAGACAGAGCAGAATGCGTGAGTGGGGTAGACGGAGCAGAATGCGTGAGTGGGGTAGACAGAGCAGAATGCGTGAGTGAGTGGGGGAATGGTGAAGAAGAGTGTCTTGCTAGATTGTCACAGTCTGTGCAAGTCACACCCTGTCTTGTTACAATCAATCATGAATCAGCCTTTGTTAGAGTCACAAACGCACACCTGTGCTCCACTCACTCACTCACTCACTACAGCAGCCCTCGCTAGAGTCACACCTTGTGTTTGACACCAGCCTTCTCGTAGAATCGCTGCGCCACTGCAAACGTGTGAGGCACCCGCTCACACGCCACCAGCAGGCCGTCGGAAGGTAATGCCAGCGCGACCGAGAGGGACGAGTAGCCCTGGCGTGCCACACCAGGGGGATGGGCAAGAGACACCAGGGGGATGGGCGAGCGACGAGACACAAGGGGGATGGGCGAGCGACGAGACACAAGGGGGATGGGCGAGCGACGAGACACAAGGGGGATGGGCGAGCGACACCAGGGGGATGGGCGAGCGACACAAGGGGGATGGGCGTGCCACACCAGGGGGATGGGCGAGCGACACAAGGGGGATGGGCGAGCGACACAAGGGGGATGGGCGAGCGACACAAGGGGGATGGGCGAGCGACGAGACACAAGGGGGATGGGCGAGCGACACAAGGGGGATGGGCGAGCGACACAAGGGGGATGGGCGAGAGACACAAGAGGTCTGGGCGAGCGTGTGCGGCACAGAGGGAATGAGACAAACGTGTGAGGCAGCCGCTCACACGCCACCAGCAGACCGTGGGGAGAAAGTGTCCAAGTCACCGAGAGGGAGGAGAGTGGCCCTTGGGTTGGGAGGACGATGGGCAAACAGGTGTGGCGCAAGAAGGGCTGGACTGGTCAAGTTGTTACAGCGCACAGCACCACCACAGTGAGACATAAGCAAAGTGAGACATAAGCAAAGTGAGACATAAGCAAAGTGTGACATAAGCAAAGTGTGACATAAGCAAAGTGTGACATAAGCAAGAGACAGCCACGGAGCAGCGGGGAAGGGGAGAGGGGAGGGAGCGGGGCAAGGGGATGGGGGAGGGAGAGAGGGAGGAGGGGGGAGCGATATGGAGGAGGGAGAAGGGGAGGGGGAGGGAGAGAGGGAGGGGAGGAGTGGGGAAAGGCGGAAGGATGAGGGGGGAGGCGGAAGGGGGAAGCAACACACTGCAACAATGCGCACAGCAGCCGTGGTCCCAAGCCTCACCGTGTCGTGTACACGCCCAACTCAATGCATAAAATACCCAGCCCGCCGCCCACAGCACACCGCAGCACACCGCACAGCCGCAAGGCTCACCGTGTACACGCCCAGCTCAATGCAGCGCCTGGCCCCCATGAGCCGCACCAGCATGGCCAGGAATGCTCCCTGCTCTGGGGACACCTGCAGGGGAGTGGAGTGGTGGCATGGCATGGCAGGCAAGCAAGTAAGGGTGTGTGAATGGTGAATGCAGTGCCTGGCTCCCGTGAGGCGCACCAGCATTGCCAGGAATGCTCCCTGCTCCGGGGACACCTGCAGGGATGGTGGTGGCAGGCAGGCAGGCAGGCAGGCAGACAAGAGCATGAGCGTATGTGTGTGCACCGCCACACTACCCGCCCCTTGCTTCCATAAGCCGCACCAGCATGGCCAAGAACGCTCCCTGCTCTGGAGACACCTGCAGAAGGGGTGGTGGTGTGGTAGAACAGGTGGGATGGGATGGGATGGGATGGGATGGGAAGGGGTGGGATGGGATGGGATGGGATGGGAATGGATGGGAAGGGGTGGGATGGGATGGGATGGGATGGGATGGGACGGGGTGGGATGGGATGGGATGGGGTGGGATGGGATGGGATGGGACGGGGTGGGATGGGATGGGATGGGGTGGGATGGGATGGGATGGGATGGGAATGGATGGGAAGGGGTGGGATGGGATGGGAATGGATGGGAAGGGGTGGGATGGGGTGGGATGGGATGGGATGGGATGGGATGGGATGGGATGGGATGGGATGGGATGGGATGGGATGGGATGGGATGCGGTGGGATGGGATGGGGTGGGATGGGATGGGGTGGGATGGGATGGGGTGGGATGGGATGCGGTGGGATGGGACAGCGCATGATAGGACGGGATAGGCCGGGATGAGGGGGAAAGTGAGGTTGGTCATGGGTGAACGGGAGCATGACAGTACTGCCTTGCTCCCATGAATTCGCATCGCACCCATGTTGTGAGGAAAGGTCACCCTTCTCACCCGCAACCCCCCTCACCTCACTCCCCCCAAGTTCTCCTCTGAAATGCATGCCCTGCCCAGTTAACCGCAATAAGCATAAACGAGACAACCCCTGCTCTGAATCTGCTTATAACGTGCATATAAAAAGCGGGTATAAGGCATGTCTTCACCTGCACCTCGTCGCATATGACAACAGCCGTCTATCTCCTCAACTCTACTACACTCTGCACCCTCTTATCACGGGTACGACCACCCCTTGTTTATATCAGGTATGCATTATAACCTAGTTCCTCAACTCACGTGCATCTCTTTGCCTATCATGGTAGCAGGTTCCCTCCTCAGCTCGGCTAGAATCTGCATTCTGCACCTGCTTATGACGAATAGACGACCATCCCCTGCTTATAGCGGGTATAAGTCATGACCTTACCCCTCACCTGCATCTCCTTGCCTATCATGGTTGCAGTTTCCCTCCTCAGCTCGGCAAGAATCTGCACGAGAAAATAAAGGCAGGGGGACGAGGGAAGAAGAGATGGGAAGAAGACATGATAAAATTGACAGGAATTGCCAGACACGGGAAGAGGAGATGGGAAGAAGAGGGGGATATGGGCAGGGAGGGGGCATGCGGGGGGCCAGGAGGATAGTGGGCACGGTTACTGGGCATGGGTAGAGTAACGAGAGGACGGGACAGAGGGAGAGAATAGGAGAGTGAGAGTGCAGCAGAGGGTGAATGGGGCAAGAACGGAAAGCTATTCTTCCAAAAGCGTTGCTGGAAGCCTGTGACACACCCCACACATCCCAAACCCATAATCACCTCTTATATCCACACCTCTTTTAGTCACACCACCAAGTCACGCCGCTTATAGTCACCTCGGGTTCTCGGGTGTGCTCCAGGATGTATTGGTATACGCGCGTGTCGACTTTAATCACCTCCTTACTCCCGTACGACGGGTCTAGCGCCACGGGGGCTGCTGACGTGGCAGACGTGGACACGGTCGCTGCTGAGCTGGCAGAGGAGCTGGCAGTGATGGATAATCGAGCCACGTGGCATTGAGTCGCCACGTGGCTATGGCTACTATGATGGAGCTTAGAGCCGATCGCGGCTCGGCCTCGAGCGAGGGAAGAAAGTCCGCTGCTATAGGAACAGACAAGAGTCATCCGCGAAAACACCGCTCCGTTATTATACGCCCCGTTATTGTAGCCACGTAGGGGTGGGACTGTTCCGGTGTTACAGCAGATGCTGGTCGTAGCGCGGCGGCATAGCGCGACGAGCGTCATGAGAGCTAACCCTGCGGAGCTTCTATTGGCTGCTGAGCTGTCCTGGCCGATTAACTACTGCTCTACTACGCCGTGGTGTTTCGGGAGAACTACGATACGGTACGGATCAGACACGGAAGTGGTTCGAATCGGACACAAAAGTGGAATGGTTCAGATCAGGTTGCTCGCCTGGCGTTGAATGTGGTTCGGTTCGGTTTCGAGGTTCTGTTGGCGTGGGGTGGGGTCTAGGCTAGGCTAGGAGTCGAGGTAAAGGAGGAGGAAGAGCCCCCTAGTAGGTTCCTGGGCTGGGAGCTTTACTCGCCTAATTACGCCGCCGCCACACACAACTAACGGCGCCAAGTCAGCGCACCGCAGGGATAGCAGCACCCATCAGCTTTGCAGCGGAGGCTACGCTATAACGAATCAGGAATAGGAAGACCTGCGTAGCTCTACAGTTTGCAGTGCAAAACTTCGATATTTGTAGGGGACAAAGCATTCTCAAATTTTCAGGCTAATTCTGGAAATCCTCGCTTAAAGCACCATCAGCTGTGCGCTAAAAGTTCCTCGAAATTTTTAGCGAAGTGTATGCAACTTTCCAGCAGCCAAATCCACATCACGCCAGCAAATAACTTCAATCCGAATGAACCTGTGTTAGGTTCTAGAACGGGGCCTATACAAGCACGTAGGGAGGAATCGCATTGCATCGCGCTTAGATTCTAGAAGCAGAGTCCTAGGGAGTGCAGTCTGGGCCAAAGAAAGTCGACTAACTAGTAAATAGTTGCGGTTTCGGGATTCTCCTGAGTTCATTGGCAAGAGAGTCCGGTTTGGTCCGGTTTGGGCCCAGACGCCTGTTGTCGCAGCTGAGAATACTAAAGCGGTTCTAGACCCAACGCTGGTTGCGTGCCAAAAGCCCTTCCACGAGGCGTGGGACTTAGTCAACAACCGGCACGGACTAGTGCATCAGCGCTTTGGTCTGTCGACCACTTTGGACTTGCAATTTGAACTGCTCTTAGCCGCGTTTTGTAGGTTTAGCGCACGAAGATAACGGGCTCAACTTGAAATGGATAGCGACAGTCTCAGAAAGGGAGCTGGTGTGGACGCAATGATCCGCAGCCGCGACACGTCAGCACAGCTTGCACAGAACAACGGCGACGCGGCGCGGCTGGTGTACCAGCTCGGCCTGCAGATGCTGCTCAGCGGCGATCCCGTCAAGGCCGCACGATGCTTCCAGGAGGTTTCGCGCGTCTTCTGCGACTGGCCGCTGCTGTGGCTTCGACTGGCAGAGTGCTGCATTCTCACCCACCAGCAACAGCAGGAGGGGCAGAATGAATATCAAGAGCAGCAGGAGCAGGAGAAGCACCGTCAGAAGCAGAAACAGAAGCAGGATGATCATCAAAAGCAGCAGCATCGGAGCGATAATCAGAAGCAGCAAGACTTTCTCGGACCCAGCAGAATGGCGGTGACTCTGATGAGCGGCGGAAGGACTGACGACACGTGGCAGTATGTCCTTCTGCCAGCTGGCACACGCGACGATGGATCCCAACACAAGATCGAATCAGGGGTCCTCGCTGAAAGTACCAGCGGTGGAATCCCTGCAGTCAAATTGACGGCTCTGGGCGGTGCTGGTGCAGGTGAATCGACGGCTCTCAGTGAGCTTGCTGATCTCATGGCGAGGCGAGTCCGCGGGGACGCAGGAGCGAGCGTCACTCACGGCAATTCAGGGAAGCAAGAAGCAGCATCAGCCATTCCTCCTAGGCACCATGGTGGCACTGCTGCCGGTAGCAGCAGCAGCAGCAGCGGTGGTACCACCAGTGACGCAACGGTCAGTACAGACAGAGCGGGGTTCGGCCATTCTAAGCAGCCACTGCCGTTTTCGCTCTCTCTGTCGTCCTCTCTGGGGCTGGATCCCCTCCCCCTGGCACGCATGTGCCTCAAGAACGCCATCCACCTGCTGCTCTCGCACCCCCCTCATACCAGCACCGCCAGCACCGTCAGCACCGCCAGCACCATCAGTAGCACCAGCACCCGCACCAGCACCATCAGCAGCAGTGGCGCCATCAGCGGCGGTGGCAGCAGCCAGAAGCCGTTCACTCCCCCACCTCTCCTACCCTCCGCCCACCGCCGCCTTCTCCTCTCAGCCCTGTGCCAGCTGGCCTGGGTCGAGCTCTCCCTCCTCAACCACCTCGCTTGCCTTGCCACCGCCCAACACGCCCTCTCCCTGCTCAACACCCGCAACAACCCTCCCCCTCACGCCGCAAACGACCCACGCACACAGCTTACCTCACAGCTTACCTCACAGCTTGCCTCACAGAAACCTCTCAGCCCTGACAGGAGCTCAGACCCGTGGCAACGCAGCGCCCTCCGCATGTACACAGCAGAGGCTCTTTGTCTTCTGGGCCGCCCTGGTGATGCCCTGAGTCTTCTATCCGAGTGCCTTGTCGAGTTCCTGGAAGCTTCCCCTCCCGCAGCTGCCATAGGGGCGGGAGGAGGAGGAGCAGCGGGTGCAGCAGCAGCAGGAGCAGCAGCAGCAGGCAGGGGGGCGAAATGGATGGAGTGGAGGGAGAGCGTGTATGTGAACCTGGCTGCTCTCCATGCGACGAAGGGCGATCTTGCAGAGGCTCGGGTGTGCGCTGACAAGGCAGGGGGAGGAGGGGCAGGTGGAGGAGGGATGGCTGGGGGTGAGGAAGGTCCGTGTGCTGGTGGCATGGCTTTCGTGGTGCAGGCTTATTTAGAGCTTAGAGAAGCCCTTGAGGCTCATGGGGATGAAAAGGCTGATCAGTGTGATCGGGGGGTGAATGCTGGGCGGTGGGAGGAGAGGTGTGACACGGCTCTGCGTCTACTGCAGCGATCCAACATGGTGTGGTTTAGAATGTGCAATGGTAACAGCATGGGAGCCTGAGGCCTGATCTTCTGTAGTGGACAAGATTTTGAGATTGTGATGCATTGCAGAGGATCAGCTCTGTGATCAGCCTTGCCTTATGCCAAATTGATCACACCTGACTGGCTGTTTCGTGAAGTCATGGCTGTGTTCGCTCCAAGATGTTGGGCTGAACGCCCTAGGATCTTTAGTAGAGTTACCGTCACCCCCCGGATATACCCCCATGGGGGGCTATAATATAACATGTTTTTTTGAGGGGGTGGGCTTATAATATAGTAAATTTATAAGCGCCGGCGTTTATAATTTGTCAAATTTGAAATTTGTTTTTTAATATACCAAATCGAAGCATTCTCAAACGCGGATTCACCTGGGTCGAGAACGTTCGAAACTGTGCATGCATTGCGTGTGAAACAGCCAACAAGGCGTGGCTTCACGCCTTCCACGCCTTGTTGGCCAGGCCAGGTTCATCGAACGTGAACCTGGCCCATGCCAGTGCACACGTACCTCGCATCACAGCGGCCCAATCAGGGTTGCATGCGATCGTGGGCACGTCGTGGTTCAGCCACGGTGTGCCCATCAACAGCAAAATTCCCCGCCACCGAGGCAAGGAGCTGCCCAGCTCAGCTCCTCTGCGGGGAATCTTGACTGGGGGGCCACCCTTTTCCCGCAGAGGAGGCCGGGCCGCGAAAATGAAGGGGTCTCGGGCGAGGGCTTCATACAGCCCTCATTCTCGACTTTTGCCTTCAGTTTCTTTGTTCGTTTGGCCTGCCGTGGCCATGGCGGGCCTTCCAGGCACGCATTTCTTGTTCCGCCGCCATCCTGCTGCCAGAGAAAACACCCGCCGAGACACCTGTGACTACTCTCAATGGCAGTCGCGCCCTGCGCCCGTCCCTCCGTGTCAACCAGTAGCTCCTCCCGTTCCTCCCACTCCCCCAACTCCTCCTGCACCTCCCGCTCCCCCGGCGCCTCCGGTTCCTCCAGCTCCTCCGTCCCCTCCTGACCCGCCTGTGTTTTGTGCTCCACGTCAGGGGGTCCTGCAGCTTCTCCTCCCTCCTGGCTACTCGGCGTTTGACGCGTACCTGTCCGAGCCCGACCGCGCCGGTGGCGCATCGTCTTCCTCCGCACCGTCGCCACGCTGGGGAGCCCCGGCTGATTGCCCGTTGGACGAATCCGCGACTGGTGCGGAGGATGACGTGGAGTTTTGGGCTGCCGACGGTCTTCCAGAGCACCTGCCTATTCCCACCTTCCCCCCCCCCAATAAGAAACGGCCCCACCCTTCTCGCGAGAATCGCGATGCCCGTCCTCCCTCCCCCAGGCACAAGCCTTCAAGTCACAAGCGGCACTCTTACACATCGCAGGAGAAACTGCAGTGGATTCTCAAGCTTGAGTCCGGGCACATGAGCGTGCGGCAGATGTCTCGCCAAACCGGCATCTCCCGAAGGTCACTCGCAGAATGGAAGACCCGGAAGGCTGACCCGGAGGGCGCGCATGCTGCTCGCAAGCGTCTTCATGGGCGCGGAAGGAGCTCGTGGTATCGCGACATGGAAGCTGAAGTCTACAGGAGGTTTCTTGCCCACCGTAAAAAATGTCTCGCGGTCTCGATTGCTCGCCTACAGAAGTGGTCGCATGAGGTGATGAAAGAATTGCACCCACAGGTAAAGTGGTCCGGCTCGCAGCGGTGGACTGAGCGGTTTCGCCGCCGTTGGAATCTGACAACCCGAGCGAAGACCAGGGTCGGCCAGAAGCTTGCTGCCAGTGAGTTTTGTGGGAAATGGTTGCAGTTTAATGTGTACTGCTTTGTGTTGTTTGTCTCTTTATGTTTCACGGTTGAATTTTAACGCGTCATTAATACTCTCTTCTCTCTTTCCCTCCCACCCGTACTCCCAGACTGCGAGACTGACGTCAGGAATTTCTGGAAGTTCGTGCGTCACACCCGCCGCCAATACAAGATTGACCCGCAGTGGATAATAAACGCGGACCAGACACCACTGTGGCTCGAGATGCCTGCCGAACGCACAGTCGA